GTGCACATTCTTGGTGTATTGGATGATGCCTTAGCTTCAGTGCACATTCTTGGTGTATTGGATGATCCTTAGCTTCAGTGCACATTCTTGGTGTATTGGATTCCGTGCACATTCTTGGTGTATTGGATGATGCCTTAGCTTCAGTGCACATTCTGTGTATTGCACATTCTTGATGTATTGGATGATGCCTTAGCTTCAGTGCACATTCGTTGTGTATTTGATGATGCACTGTCCTCCTCTCGCATCATGACACTTCTCAATCTTGGGACTCATGTGGTTGGATAGATGTCACTTGAGGGTCGCCCCTTGTCTGTCTTGTGTGGAGGTCACAATCTATAATCTTGGGACTCATATGGTCAGATAGATGTGACTTGAGGGTCGCCCCTTGTTTGTCTTGTGTGGAGGTTACAATCTACTTACTGTCAGTGATGTTGTGATATGATGTTGTGACATGCTGCTTCCTACAAGCTTCCTACAATAAATGAGGGAGGGTCACCCCATCTTGTGTGGAGGTCACAATCTACTTCATGTCAGTGATGTTGTGACATGCTCCTTCCTGCAATAAATGAGGGTTTTCTTCCTTCCGTTGGGATTGAAAAGCTTATGATTAGAGGGAGGGTCTTCCGTTGGGATTGAAAAGCTTATGATTAGAGGGAGGGTCGTTGGGAGGGTTTTCTTCCTTCCGTTGGGCTTGAAAAGCTTATGATTAGAGGGAGGGTCGTTGGAACAGGAAACGTTCGGCCTTCCGCTAGCTTTTTTTTAATGAAATTGGGTCGGTTCATGACCTAGTTTTTATGCCTATAAACTTAAAACCAACCCAAACGGAATCTAAAAAGATAAAAACAAACCAACCTAACAAAAAAAGTTCTGAATAATGAAAATTTGAGAAGAAAAGAAAATGAAATCTAGTAAGCTTTTGAAAAATTTGGGCAACTCTCCCTCCACACTCACTTTGATTCAAACTAGTTTCTTTAGCTTCATTGTGGGTTGAGGAGGCCTATAACTCATTAACATGAAATTATGTGCCGCTATTGACTCACGAACTAGCACCTGTGACCTTTAAAATTGGAGAGCACTAAGAGTTATAGAGTGACCCTAGATTAGTCAGATTATTAAAATGTGAAGGAGTCGATGTCCAAATTTATAGGATTCAAAACAGACATATTATTGATTCATGGCATTCCAAGTACATGTACCATAAAATGAAGAAAGGTTGAAGAAAAATGAATTAGTCACGCCCAAGGAGAAGATTGGCTATAACCAAGATGATACTACAAATATCTTCCACAGTCTTCCCGTTGCCAGACAGCGCCGATGGGTCCTTCGGCGGCTGCGTGAAGCTGTCCAGACAGTCGCCGGCCTCTGTCATGGCTGCAGACGCCTTAATGTTGACACCATTGTAGTCACCTTCCCCCAGGTCGTTCTTCCCATCCTCGATGTCGTCGGCGGCATCGTCGTACTGTTCAACACAGGTGGCATATCGCTCCTTAAGCTTGGGATCTGCTGCCTTGGATGCCAGGGACAGGGCAAGGGCACGGGTTTGAGCAACCTTGTCGTGGGCGAGGTTGAGGGTGAAGGTGGCCAACCCTTTGAGGTCTGTGGTGCCAGCAGATTTCAACGCTTAAAGCAAAAAGAAGGGTTTCTAGTTTTCTTGCAGATGGTGGAAACGATGTCGTCTTGGGAAGCCGCATGCATGGGCACCATCTCATTGAAGAACAGTACTAAAAGGACAATCCTAGAGACCGCAAGAAAACTAGAAGATGCCATTTTTTATTTTGATTTTTCTGTCTGTTTTGCTCAATTAATTCGTAGGGAGGGTTCACATATATATACACTCACCAATATTCCTTTTAATAGCTTTCACGTTAGAATTTTAAGTAAAACCCTATTAAAAGAAAAACTAACAAAAATAGACTGAATAGGTTAAGCTTTTTTCTCTCTAAACCCAATCACAAACTTGGCTAAGTTATTATGCACTTTTTTAGACAATATAGGTTAAGCTTTTTTCTCTCTAAACCCAATCACAAACTTGGCTAAGTTATTATGCACTTTTTTAGACAATACACCGTCTTCCTCCGTGTGCCACTCTCGTGTTATCCTTTACTGACTACACATAAGAGTCATAACTTTACTCTCTTGTTAGTAAGGTTATAACCTTCTCCTTGGCTTAAACTAATAATATTTATTTTACAAAAAAAAATCAAGGTTATTAATGTAATATTGAACCATAGTTTTCATGGAGAGGATAATATTTAATAAATAACCTAAAGAATATATAGTACATGGATAGTGCTAATACGCTGACAAATATTTGTTTTGCCAATATTTTTTGTTGGCATCACGAAAAGTAGTCCTTGCCATGATTGTGTGTTTTGACGTAAGGGATGTGAGTCAATAAACTCGACTGGGTTAAAATCATGGATGTCGGAATCATGCATTGAGAAGTTAGTAAGTCAACAAGCTTGACTTGGTTAAAATCATGGGATGTTGAGAAGTTAGTAATCATGGAACATTTTGGGGCAATCATGAGATAACGGAGACCAACCTCAGCCCACAATTTTCTGCAAGTTCGTTAGAGGCAATCATGAGATAACTCAGCCGGGAATTTTCTGGGTCGAATAGAGGCAATCATGAGATAACCCAGACCATCCTCAGTCCAAGAACTTAGAAGTTTTTTGGAGTTAGCGAACTACTACGGAAGGTTTCTTTTTAGGAGTTATTCAAACCTTGACAAAGTTAACTAAGAAGGGTAAGTCTTTCTTTGGACTATGACACATGAATAGATTTTTCAAGAGCTTAAGGAGTTTTTGATGTATGCGCTAATGCTAGCACTATTTTATGGTTCAAGCATGGTGTACAACGATGCCTCGAGAAAAGGATTGGGGTTGCGTATTGGTGTTAATGGAGAAGTGATTGTATATGGCTCCTAATAGTTTAAGAAATATGAGCGTAACTACCTAACCCTCGATTTGGAGTTAGCAACTGTGGTGTTCACGTTAAAAATATGGTGACGTTACTTGTATGGTGAAAAGGTACAGGTAGTAAAACCATAAGAGCCTCAAGTATAAAATATGGTGACGTTACTTGTATGGTGAAAAGGTACAGGTAGTAAAACCATAAGAGCCTCAAGTATGTTATTCAAGTAGAAAGAGTTGAACATGGGACGAAGGAGATAGTTGGAGTTTGTGAAGGATTATGATACAAAGATCCTTTATCACCCATGTAAAGCTAACATAGTGGCCGATATGTTGAGTAGAAAGACAGCTCACTCTTCTGGTATGTCATTTTCGGTTCTCTAAATCTTCAAAAATTTCACTAGATGGTCATAATTCAAGTCATTTTAGGATTAGTATGGGTGTAAAATAGTCAAAATATCACCTTCCACACACCTTCACGCGCCCCATGCGTGGTTGGAAAGGCTTCTAGGCATGATTCCACTTGCAACGGGCTCACATGCAAATACCACGGCCAGTCGCTATTAGCCCTCAATTTAAGCATAATTTAACTTAAACTCCCAAAAACAATTTCACTACTTGACACCCACCCCACTCACAACACGAGTGTTCTTGGCCTCGAGTCCAGGCGACGTAAGGCATTAGTATTTTCTTATTTTTTTCTTGGTGCAGCATGTGTCCTCCAAAAGCACACCTTCAAGTCTCGCAAAATGTTTCCTCATTGATTTTCCTTCAATTAACGTAGGGTCGGCGCATGACCTTCCACCTCCATGAGCGCGCTTAGATTTAATCCACCTCCCCACAATGGTATCAGAGCCATGCCCTAAACTTGGTCGTGCCAATAGATTGGTAAATCCTCAAATGTCAAACAAAGAACTCCAAAAGAAAAGGAGCCGAGCCTCCTTGAAGGCATAGTAAAAAAGAACTAAGACTCCAAAAGAAAAAGAAGTCGAGCCTCGATTAAGGGGAGGCGTACTTTGCTCGAGGGGAGGTGTTGGATGATGAAAGTAAATGCAGACGGTTGATTGGCAGATTAATATATTTGGCCGTTACTAGGCCTGACATAGTTTATTCAGTTCGTATGCTTAGTCAATTTATGCATGAACCAAAAAAACCACATTGGGAGGCAGCTCTTCGGGTTCTGAGATACATCAAAGGTACTCCTCATCAAGAACTCCTACTACCATCTGAAAACAATTTAAGATTACAAGCATATTGCGATTCTGACGGGGTTGTTGTCGAACTCCAGACGGTCTATTTCTGGGTTCTGCATTTTCCTCGAAAATTCAATTATTTCTTAGAAGTCTTAACTAATGTGTCCAGATCATCAGCAGAAGCCTAGTATCGAGCTATGACAAATACTTGTTTAGAGTTAACTTGGTTAAGATACATGCTTCAAGACTTGAATGTTCTACTGTCCGAACCAGCATTATTATATTGTGATAATCAAGCAGCATTACATACAGCAGCCAATCCAGTTTTTCACGAATGTATGGAACACATTGAAATAGATTGCCATATAGTTTGAGAAAAGTTACAAGCTGAAATCATCAAACCGCATTATGTTTCGACTAAAATGCAATTGGCAGATTTTTTCACTAAAGATTTGGGAAGACATCAGTTTGATCTTTTGAAGGACAAGTTGGGTGTGATTGACATACACACTCCAACTTGAGGGGAGTATTAAGATATGATATTTGGAGAATATATTTTAATAATTAGTTATGGAACATATGTTAGATATCCGCTAATATTTTTTCTTTATTTTTGGGAGTTGTTAGTAGTATGTATTAGTTGATAGTTTATATTGTATTTAAACGTTTGTAATCACTAAGATCATACTTTCGATCCCAATTCTATTTCTCATTCTTAACACAATGGAAACCTAATTCTTTTGTGACAAAATTTTGTGTGTCCCTAAGTTATGCAGCAGGGACATCGATAATGGCCACAAAATTCCCAGCTGAGTTCACTAATTTCATCGTTGGCGTAACAGTGTGCATGATAGTTTCAATGTTGCAATTTATAGCGCTATTGAATGAGTTGCCTGCCAACACACCATCAGTTTCCAGGAACTCTCTGTACTTCACTTTGTTCTTCGCATTAAGCGGCATGCTCTCGTCTTATGTGTCGTCGGTAAAAGCTTTGACGCCGGAGCCGATGATGCCCCGGGTCGCCGCTGTTCTGCTGCTTACTCTTGGCATTGGTGTTGTTTCAATGGGGATTTTATCGTGCACACAGAAGGTTCGAGGAGTTCTGAGATCTTGGCCTTTTTAACTTTGCCCTGTTGGCAAATGAAGCATTTCTTGGTGTACTATATTATGTCATCTAGCATATTTTGTCAAAAGTACCCCTTCTAATCATGTAACATAGTAAAAGTAATCAAGATCTAAACCTGTGTGCACTCAGAGAATGGAATAACTCGAGGAGTTAATCCTAAACATCTTGAAAACGAGAGACAAGATTTAAATTGTCTAGATGCCCTTAAGAACCCAGTAGGCTTCCGCAATATCTAATTATAACAAAGGTAACTTTTTCAAGTTCTTAGCAATATATATGGTGTTAATAATAGGGTTTCCGATACCGTTTCCACTCCAGTACCCATACCGTTGAGTTTTTAATCCGTATTGTACTATCGAGCGAAGTATAGGTTAGCAAGAGTATGCAATTAGGTGTCCCAACTTTGTGAAAATTGTCAAATGTCTCTTGAACAAGACCACTTCGATGTAAAACTATTCTTGAGATGGGTGCATGGGATCCTGTAGGTTAATCCAATAGTTGGCCGGCACACAAGGGTCACTTCCCCCAAACTCCGATGACTTTATGATCCTGTGGGAGGGTCTACCAACTAACCTCCCATAAATGAGGTTTAGACTAGAAGACACCTTACTGCCCAATCAAAACTTTATGATTTAGCACCTCAATCCAAGGCGTTGGACATTCACTGCAAGAGCAAAGCAAGCTATATAAATATAAGAACATAAAAGTTTTTTTTACCGTAAAGATGCAATTTATCGCCCTGTAAACTCAGAACACCAGAATTAGGAGACCACTTCCTCGAACCCAGAGTAAGTTCATGAGTAACTAGAGAACCACATAGAACTTCGAAGCACCTCAGATGCTCAAATAGCAGTAGAGACCAGGATTAAACTTATTAGAGCCCGAAGAAAAATCCGTGGATACTTACTAGGATGAGGATGCCATAAGAGCCTATGAGTAGATTGCTTATCGAGTTCTTTTTATACTTACTTTTTCCTTCTTTTCCCCTTTTTTTTTTTTTTTTTTTTTTTTTTTTTTTTTTTTTTTTTTTTTTTTTTTTTTTTTTTTTTTTTTTTTTTTTTTTTT